CCGCGGCTCAAGCCGCCCGTGCACCAGGAAGGGGTGCACGATGCCCAGGTAGCGGTTGAGGCTGATGCAGGTGAGGAAGAAGATGCTGCCGTAGAGGTTGCAGGTGAAGAGGAAGCGCTCGAGCTTGCAGAGGGCCAGGCCGTGGCTCCAGTGCTTGGGCGGGTAGTAGTAGGCAGCCAGGAAGGGCAGGGAGAGGGCGTAGAGCAGGCCGCTGACGGCCAGGTTGAAGGAGTACACGATGCCCGAGTGCCAGGCGCGCTCATGGGCCACAAAGCGGTAGATGGCCAGCGCATTGCCAGGCACAGCCAGGAGGAACTCCACCGCCAGCACGGGCCACAAGCGTTCCTGGAAGTCACGGATGGCCCCCTCTGTGCAGTTCATCCTGGGCCAAAGCAGGGGGGGTTGGAGTTAGGCAGGGAGCCTTTGTCTCCCCTCTGCTGCCATCAGGGGGGCCAGCCCCCGGCTCCGTCTCACCCAGTGCCCCAGAGGGCGGGAGCGGAGCAGGCAACCAGCAAGTGATCCCCCCTTGGTCATTCCCAGGCTCTGGCACATGGATTCCCCCCCCCTGCTAGTTGCCATTGAGGGACCTCGCCTCCATTCAGCACCCTTTCCAAGTCCTGCCCTTCACGCCTCATGGCAGGGAGTTCCGCAGGTGACTGCTGCAGGAAATATTCCTTGTGTTTTAAACATGTTGCCTATTTGGTGACCTAGTTTGTCACACGCAGGATTCAATAACTTTCTCTGCACCAGTCGCCTACAAAGCTACCCTGTCGTGTTACCCTTTGCTGAGCCTTCCCAACTCCAGCAGTGAGGGGGGGGCGACTACACTGGGGCTGGGTCAGTTTTTCTGGAAAATCAGCCACTTCTCTGGAAAATCTTGCCAGCTGTCTATGCTGGCGGCTTGAATTTCTGCAACAGCCCTGACGTCCTGTCTGAAATCAGGGCTTCTTGCGGAAATACGGTGCTGCTCCCGTTCGGGCAAAGTCCTTTTGCGCAAAAGGGCCGGTGTAGGCAGCTCAGATTTGTTTTGTGCAAAAAAGCCGCAGTCGTGAAAATGGCGATCGGGCTTTCTTGCACAAAGCGCGTCTAGACTGGCACGGACACTTTCCGCAAATGCTTTTAATAGAAACTTTTCTGTTAAAAGCATTTCCGGAAAATCATGCCAATTAGCCGCAGCCTGGCTGTGCCACTGAGCTTGTCCTGTAGCGGGGCTGATGTGAAGGATGTTGCCTCTTAGGTGAATGTGGCTCCATGTGCCTGGTGCAGCTGGCCCTGCAGCAGCCTTGAGCCA